GGGGGGGGGGACAAAAAGCTACAGGGGCTCACAGCACAGCAGAAATATGCTGAGTTGGGAATTTTGTTTGCTGGGAAAGATATCGCAGTTTGGATGAGTTCCAGCAAAAAGCAACCATTCAATAAAGAATGCATAAAGCGAATGCGAACACTGAGCAATGGTGTCACTACTGTACTCGGCCCCGAACCCATTCAGATAATGGAACTTTTTATCTTCCCGAGTACTTTTACCGCCTGAGCTACTGGTTTTTGGACAGCATGATATCGGTCATGGACATCTGCGGTGACTTTTATCTGGTAACTATCCCCTGAATCTCTCTGAATACTCGCTCATCTGAACTTTTGGCCTTGTCCGCTGAAACTTATCTCGCTTACCTCCATTGTGTAGGTTTTTCCGCTTCCTGTATGTCCATAGGCGAATAGACAAACATTATAGCCATCAATACAGCTAGTGATAATCGGTGATACTTTGGAGAAGATCTGCAAGCAGGGCTTTCCGTTATTATCAAGTCTTCCAGTAATGCTAGTAGTGCTACTGCTTGACAGTCAAACATTTCCAGCCACCTGTTCCTGTGTATATTCCATTGGTATCACAAAATCCGCTCCGTCACTAGTTTTTCGACCACTCGGATGAGCCAGATGAACAACACCGGTATCCATTTCATCAATTGTCACCGCGGGATTTTCGTTAACATCACCCAGCTGAGGCCGAATTCGATAGAAAACCCGTATGTTACCTGAAAATATCACCACAGCTAAATCATGAGCACAGAAAAAAAAAGTGGGAGGGACATCCGCAATGGGCGTGATTTGATCACTGCTGCACTTGCCTGACCCAAAACTGCATAAAATTCTAAGAGCTTGTAAAATAATTCCATCTATCGAACCTTCACCTTTCGTTGGAGGTTGGATTGAGTGGGGATGATAGCGATGGGGTTTCCCGTCCTATTCGTTTTCTTCCACGATGCTACCCCTACTTTTCCCTTTGAGCTTGAGATTTCTGGCGTAGACACAAAGCCAGTCTGTTTTCGTAGAAAACATAGCAGCGAGAAAGACAAGAGTGATTGCTTGTTTTTGTTTGTCAATGCTGTTGTTTACCACACGATTTTTCACACGACATGTATCCATGTATCATTTCAGTTGCATACATTCATTGGAAATCCGTTCACACGAGTGGAAGCTGAGAGAGAGACGTCATGCTACCACCATTCCGGTGGCATACTGCTCTTTAAGGGTATCGGTAAGCAATGGGTGGTTTTTGTCTGAAAGGCTTTGATGAATGGGCCCATTGGGCTCAAACTCGCTCCCACTATGTCATTTTTCAAATGCTGTTTAGATCATGGAAAGTGATTTGTCCTTCACATGCTTGGGAGAGTTGGAGAGGAGAGTTTGTCAAAGGTATTTTCAAGTAGTTGCGGAAGAGGTCGTAAAAACGACCTAAACGAGTTCGAAAAGACGAGTGTGGTAGATCTCGAAAACATCTCAATCACAGTGGGACAAAACTTGGCTGGGACTTGTAGATGTACCCTTGAAGTCATGTTTGACTCAGTGAAAAAGATCGCAACCTTCTTCTACCTCCTCCGCACAGTATAGGAATATTACCCACATTACCCACACTTTCTGTACCCAAGTTCAAAAATAATCATAAAATATCGACTATGGAGAGGAAGAAGAGGAGGAAGGAAGCAAAAGGACGATAAACTTCAGAAATTTTGAGTTTCCGGTTCGTATCCAACACATCATACAAACATCTATACAGCACATCCTGCCCACTCTTCAGACGGGACCGACTCAAATTAGGAACATTCCGAGTAAAGATCCCCTCCATGGACTGGATCAGATCTGACCAGGGTATTAGCCAGTGGCTTACGGTCGCGGGAACGGCACTTCTTGGCACACCTTCAGCTCCGCCGAAGTTATAGATGCTATAGTAGTTCAATTTTGGAACATGATGAGTCCCCAAGGAGGCGTTCTGTCTTAGCGAGTTCCCAATTAGGTCAGAGATGAAACGACTAGCATTCACTCTATCTGAAAGCTAGATTGTACCATGCGCCTTAGCCTCATGGAACCAAGTCCCTTACAAACCGGGAATTTTTTCTACTCATATCTACTCCCGTACTTACCTCCTGAGAAATATTCCAACCCGGTAACTATAGCTCATCTCTAACGACACATCGACCCCGCTCCAGGCTCTATTATGTCCTGGCCAATACGCTATAATCACTTTGCAGCGATTCGTCAGTTTTCTTCAGATTTGTTCCCATGACTACAAACTCGTCCCATTGCTTAGTCAGGGAACGAGTAAACACGATCCTAGTGGGAATTTTGAATAAAAA